GATAGTTCTGGTATTTACTGTGCTGTAAATCTTAACCTTTGTAATTCCTGGGTGATGACAACATAGTAGCATGTAAACAATTGCATCAGGAACTATGCTTAAAGAACCAAATGTAAGCTGTGGTTCCTCTAATTCAGACACTGTTAACTGAAGTTATTCCTGGGGTGACCAAATGTGACTGCTGTTCTTACTCATGTCTACAAACCAACCAATCAGAATGCAGCATGACATGACCCATGAACATAAAGTGTTGTGACCAAAACATGTTTCCATGCTTTATAAAATATGAGAGCAGTGGAGATGGGTGATGCAAACCGATGGCATGCCTTCTGTTTACATCATCACATTATGAGTCAGCATTCATCACGCAGATTAAAGCTAAAAAGAAAAATGACACGACTAAGATTTTATCATCTGACTCAGAGATCAGTGTTATCTCACATCAATGGATGTTCTTCAAACAAGTACCTCAGTGTTGGCTCTCTATGATGAAGTCTTGCTACATTTGGACTAACCCTTTCCTTTTTCTTTTTTTTTTCCCCCCCTGTCTTCTTCCAGATGGATGTATTTGATGCCGCAGAGAGGTACCAGCAGTCCGGTGTACCACTGCTGGTTCTAGCAGGGAAGGAGTACGGCTCTGGGAGCTCCAGAGACTGGGCAGCAAAGGGCCCCTTTCTACTGGTGAGCTTCACTTATCGTCAGTCCTTCTTTAACAAGCTGGAATTATATCAACATAAAGTGCCTCACTAATGGCCCTACTGTGCTAGCAGAACAGCTTCAGTGCTTCTTGGCATTCCATGAAAGATATTCATTATAGGCCCCTTTTTCTGTTTCAGTGTTGTCCCAGGTTGTGTGACAGTCATAAGAGAAACATGGCACGATTTTTACTGGGATGCACCTCTCTGGGATGGCGGCTATAAAAAAAACACAAAGTAAATAGTGCCTAGAACATTTTGTATCATGTCTTTCATGAGGTGAAATGTTATCAGATTAGTCATTTCTCTCTGCGTAACCGTCCTCATATGGTGTAACTCTGGTAAAGTCTTCTGATATGGGCTCTTGGCTTTGGATTGCATTCAGACCTGGCTGTGCGGTGCCTGTTTTAAAGATCAGAGAAATCGGGCGCCGCTATCGCTCACCGGGTTGAGCTAGCGTCTCATGTACAGGGCTTCAGTCCCAATGTGGAGGTCATAAGTTCGAATCCTGCTCATGGCCCTTTCCCACATGTTCTCCCCCCATTCTTCTCCCCCACTTTCCTGTCTCTCTCTCACTGCACTGTCAAACAAAGGCCAAAAAAATAACTTAAAAAAAAAAAAAAGATCAGAGAAATCAGTCGTGTTGTCGTGTCGTGGCAACAAATGCAAGACATTATCAGCGAAGTACCTGTTTATCTTCTGTTCTTTGCTCATTTTGTTGTGCACTTGCAGAGCCTGACTGTCAACAAACTCTGCTAAATTTTTTAATTTGCAACTTTTTCTCAAGCTTTTTCCACATCTTTTAAACTGATAGTAATGGTCTTCATAAGGGATGGAGTTTGCTCAGTTGTTCCACCGCAGTCTGACTCCAGTGAGGTGATAACTTGTTCTTGTTCATGAAATGAGCAAACTTCATTTACTGATAGAGACTATATGATACTACTGAAAAGCTAAGAAGTTGATCTTGTTTAAACATTTGTTGTCAGGGTTTCATGTTTTTGGTTCGTGTTTGTAGGGTATTAAGGCAGTTATAGCAGAGAGCTATGAGCGCATCCACCGCAGTAACCTGGTCGGCATGGGGGTGATTCCTCTGGAGTATCTACCAGAGCAGACCGCTGACAGTCTGGGGCTGACCGGCAGAGAACGCTACACCATCAGCATCCCGGAGCAGCTCACGCCCAGGATGATCATCGACGTAAAGGTACAACAAGAGCCGAACAGGGACGTGTTGTGTTTGTGCTGCCGACATAAGTTTGAGTGCGATTCTTGATTTTGGTCTCTTCGTGCCCTCACAGCTCGACACGGGGAAAACATTTCAAGTCCGGATGAGATTCGACACCGACGTGGAGCTGGCGTATTTCCACAACGGAGGAATCCTCAACTACATGATCCGCAAGATGTCTGAGAACTAACATGTTTAATCTTTCTCATTCTCAGCTACAGTGGCAGAGCTGTAAAAAAAACAAACAAATCATGTAGTCGTTGTCAGGAGAATACCGTCCAAGAATTATCCAATCGTTTCCCACATTTGGTGCACAGAGGCCATTACACAGAACTGATTTACAGGCACAACATTTATTACAGTGTTCTCATTTTTGAGGGTGCTGCTGTTAGTCCTGGTTGAATTGCAGAGCAGACGCAGCTAAATATAAATGACGTGAGTCAGGATATGCAATGCAGATCGATGCTTGATTTTAAAGATGGGATTGCGAAAAAGTTCACTTTGTTTCGCCTCAACCAAACCTCCAGTATTTCATTCGTGCAAGAATCCTCATCTCTTACCTTTGCTGTTCGGTGTGTTATGGTTTCAGAGACAGCACTGCTTTCTCACCAATTCAGAGGATTATTCCAGTATATTATAGCCTGGGTCTTACATTGGCTGTGGTGATAACACAGGTTCTGCCATTGACTTCTTACTGATCTGCAGGTGGGAGTGGCAGGGAAGGAAAAAGTGTGTAAACATGGATGTAAACGGTTTTAAACGTCAAAGAGCTATTGACTTTGTAAATGTTTTATTAAGAAAAAAGCGCACAACATAATTGTAAGACCTCAAGGATACGCACAGTGTGTACTGGTGAATCTTTTCCCATTTGTGGTTATTCTTTTTCTTTTCTTCTTTGCACAGTAAGGAGCAGGTAACGCACTGGACCAACATGTTCAGAAGCATCCATAATGTCCTCATCAGAAACAGTTCAAAAAACATGGCCCAAGCTGATTTATAGGTTCATTCTTGACGTTTATGAACAATATATACAGCTTTAAAGGGCAAAGTAGTCCCAGAAGTGCAAATCCATATTACCGATAATTCCAGAATAAACAATGTGGTTGGATAGTTTTTGACTATTTGTAGCGATGGACCTCAACAATGAAGGAAGAGATAAACATGACATTACTGTGATTACTATTCCAGTAAAAGGCTACCTTAAACTGCAGCATTATTCCCCACACACACTGTTTTCTGGCCCTGCGCGCGACTCAGTTTTTGCCATTTTTTAATATATGTCTCTTCGTCTTTCCCGCTTCGTCTCTGATTTTGTCCATTTGTTCTTCGTCCCACTTCATTGTAAGCTTGTTTTTGTCTGTGAACATAATGCCTTAATACTGTTGTATTTTATGTCATTTCGCTCTTATATCCTAAAAGACTGACAAAACCATTCATTTGCAATCATAAAGCATTCAGCCACACAGTACTGATAAACAGAATAAAAACTGATTTTTGGAGAAGTTCTCCTGTTATTCCATCTATTTCTAGTTTCTGTTTTAACTTTTTTATTTTTAGATAGCACCAAAATAACTGTAGCGAAGCTTGTTTTGATTTGCTGTCATTGGCGGTGTTCTAAACTTGTTTTTTTTCCCTAATACGCTGGAGAGTAGGAGCCTTAAAATAGTTCCTAAAAGCCCTTCAGTTCCAGAAATAGGCTGATTGTACGCTGCTCTCACTGATTCTGGGTTTCTGTCAGAAGCGAGCCGTGAAGCCAGTCTGTATCTACAGTACAATAGTTGAAACCTGAGACGTGAAAAGGGGGAACGATGGCTTTGTTGTTGGCTCAGTTGTTTGTGTGCCTTCCTGTTGTGTGTCCAGTTTCAGCCACTAGAGGGTGAACGGCGCAGTGTGGTTCAGTTCTGCTGCTGTCTTCACACTTAATAGAAGTCTACTACACTGTAATGAGTTCTGATTAAAAGAAATATTCTTGTGAGTATTTATGGACACTAACTCAAGACCAGATAATTAGCTTAATAATAATACAGGGCCCACCTCAGCTGAAATTGTGCTTTGACGGTGAAGAAAAATATTTGTGGCTCATCAAACTGCCAAAACCAGAAATCAGTGTTCTGCATTTTCAGACATGACTCAAAAAAAAAACATGACATAAAGAAAATTAAAAACTGGAGGGTGCATTATTCAGCAGAGATGATCTGGATCCCCTTCCTCCATTTTTTTTTTTTTTTTTTTAAATTTGCTTTTGCTTAACGATATCAATTCTCCACATTCATCAATCATGAAGCTCTAATCTGAAATAACAGTGGGTGCACTTGCAATCAAACTAGCTGCAATCAGCTCTGCAGGCAAACGTTCAACACTCAGTAAAGGTGCTTCAAATCAAACAAAAGCCATGTTTTGGCTGACCTTCCACCCTCTGCCTATCAACAGACCCCTTCCCACCTCAGATTTCTGAGAAACTTATCTCTGCTCTCTGCAACAGAACATAGACACACCATCTGAGATGTGTTGGTGCGTTCTCATGTGACATTTACACCTCCCTCCTTCTCTCCATACCGTTTCCCTCCATAAACTTTTGTAGTTTACCAAAGTGTGGTGTTATTTCTAGACTGTGGCTTTGTGAATGAAGGAAAAACAATGTGGTGAACCCATATCAAAAACAAATGTTTAGTGTAAAGCTGCGTAAAATGTAGACTTTTTTTTTCTTTTTTTTAAACACCTCGGCAGTAGCATATACTGTACATCATCTGTAGTGAAACACTGATGACAGTGAATTAGTATGAGTTTTTAAATATGAGGGGCTCTGTTAAGAGTTTAACCCTCTGAACTCCAAACTATTTCTGAGCATTTTTGCCTCTACCACAGTTTTACTCACTGGACAATTTAAAGTGCCCCTTTATAGAAACCGTGGCTATAAGTAGGGAGACTAAAAAGGTTTTTGTGGCGTATAACAATGTTAAATTCCACAAATAAATTAAAAAAGGCAAAAATGAAAGTAGATTTTTTGTACTATTTGATTTGATTTTGATTTATTAAAAATAGAAAAAATGGAATCAACATTTTTCCGATTGCCCACATCTGTTACCAATGCTAGGAAAAAAAACGGGGACTCGACATGTTATTTGCATTTTTACAACCTCTGTGAACTCTGCGTTTTTTTGTTTTTTTTAACGCTACTCTGCACATGAGCTCTAGAAAGATATTTCACCAAGCTGGATGTGACTTGCTCCTAAATGTATTTTACTGATAGTATGTTTTTTCCCCTCTCAGCTTTTCTTTATGTCTTTTTCCTGGTTTGTGCAAACACTGCCTACAGTTCACCTTAATTTTTTGTCTTGTGACTGTTCCTTGCAGCCGAGTCACTAATGCCTTCGCAGGTTTTCACAGGATCTGTTGCAGATAAATTATTTCTGGTGAATTTTTAATGAGATGTAGAATAAAGGGATTTTTAGGGAAATGTTACAATTTTAAGCTTGTTTTAAGCAATTTTTAAACCACATTGTGTGATTTTTCAAGCAAAAAAATCTGCCACTTCCTTCTGTTTTTGCAATCTCTGGCTCTAGGAAATGGTATTTGGGCAGAATTTTTAAAGAGAACATGCCCTTTGAACCTACGGATGGGTTTTAGTACTAGTAGTACCCCAGGTTGCTAAAATGGTCAGATTCCCCAGAGGACGTGACCTCTGTGTCTTTTCTGGTAGCGACAGTAAAGCTCTGATGGCTGCACTTTATAAAAAAAATCTTAGAAATAGACAGAAAACCATTGGAGAAATATAGGGGTACAATTTTGTTGTTGGAATTTGCTTTGTAAAACTTGCAAACTAACAAGGTAATAAAACGACAAAGTGAGAGGAACGGGGAAAGATGAATTCTTTCTGGTCGGCAACCTCAGTGAAAACAGAGACGGATGCCTGACTCCTTCATCATCCTGCCCTTCCCATTAATTTTTTATATCTCCCCACTTTAGACTCAGTTACATTTACTCTTGTTACTGTGTACTCTTAGGGACAACTGTTATTTTTTATATAACAGTCCGTGATTCCAGCTTTTGGTTTGTGTCATGACCATGAACTGTAAAAGAAAGATGGTGGGTTTAAAGTGCGCCTCATCACCCTCATAACATCCTGACCTGAAAGGTGTAGGGCATCACGACTGAAGACTTTTGGGCACAACATTTGATGATGGTGGACAACCACTTCCACACAATCCAGCGCTTTTCCAACAGATTAAAGCAGTGGCTCCCAAAGTTAAAACCCCCATGAAAGATTCCAAGATGATTTCCAGGAATCCAATAAAATCAAAAAGTGATAGAAATTGCGTTTTTAAGCCACGATTGTTCCAAAATTTTATCAAAACAGTAGTTAAATGCTGCTCATTACACGTGCACAGACATCACCTGTGACTGCTTCATCACAGTGTGTTTACTCAGTACAGTTTACACAAGGAGAGTACAGATGTAGTCTGCCACCA